CAATCCCCTCATCCAGATCATTGATAAAGATATTAAACAATTCGTTGGGAATTACCAGTTCCCAGTCGCGAGGGTGCACAAACAGCCAGACCGGTATAGGGGATATGATGGTCCTCGCTCCCTGAGAAGTGAAACCACAAACCCTATGGCAAAATTTTGGCGGTTATTGATGTCCAGCCCCAAATCATGACATAATCAAGAACATATGCAAGAACAACAAGTGGATTATCCTCCCCCTTTCCAAAAATTAAAGAGCTTCTCAAAGGGACTGAACCTTTTCCGCAGAAGCGAGCATCTACGCAGTCCACAGACAAAGACGCTGAGCTAGGGAGCGCTCCGCCTTTTGAACCATTGATATCGCTCTGTTTTTAGGTCTTGGAGAGAAAAAAAACCCCAAAACGGGGGAAAAAAAAGAAAAGAAAAAATGTCTGAAGTACATCCTTTTTTGGCTCCTGTTTTTTTTTCCCCCCACCTGTTTATGGCAGCCCTGTTGTATTGATTAGCTTGTGATCTCCCACGGTAACATCGAGCTTCACAAGCCCGTGATGTGTTGACAGATTTCTCATTACGTTTTTCTGGGAGTGTCCATGGCTGAGATAGTCACAGGCTATAAATATTCTGACAGCTGAGGAATTTGTCAAAATCCAAGGAAATTCTCAGCCAAGCTCACTGCAAATAAATAGAGCATCAGCAAAATATAACGTGGAAGATTTATGCTAAAACACTCGTTTGAGTTTTGCACGTTAGGCAGTTCACACATAAGGTGAAATTTTAAAAGAAATGCCTGCTTACTAATTAGTCAGGAGTTGTGCTAAAGTCATCCGCAAATGAAGGTTGGGAGTGTCTCCAGGGGCTTCTTAGGACACCACCACCCAAATTTAGTGTCACGTGGCTCAGGGGAGGTGAAGGGTACAGTCCCTTTTTGGCTGTCAAGTGAAGGTCTGGAAGCAAATTAAAAAAAAAAAAAACACCTACCCCAGAACTCAGTGTTTATATGGAATAATTTAGTTTTACTGACAAATGCTGAGCTTAAATTGCAGCAGAAATTTCTAATTTGTTAAAAAAGGGGGTGGAGGAGCAGCTGCGTCTTGCTTGGGCTGAGCCGATAGGAGTTGTTGCTTCCCGCGGCCAGAGTACACGGGGACTCGTTTCGGCGTGGACCTTGGCCCTGGTCTGCAAGCGTTATTAATTTAAATGGGCTGAGCCTGGAAACGGGTACGCTTCAAATGGCCGAAGAAAGGCTGCGCTCCCGGGAGTGCCAGATCAATCTGCAGACTCTCAGGGGCTTAGCCTTTAAGTCAAAGAGAGATGCCGGAACAAAACGAAGAGGCTGATCAATACCGAAGCGCCTGGACACTACAACGGTTTTGCCCAAACCAAACCAAATCCAACTTGCAAACCTCTTTGCGGCTCGTCTTATTTTAGGCAATTTGGGATTGTTACACACTTGGCCCTGGATTAATATTCCGTGATTAAAAAGGTGCAGTGCGGCTCTTTAAAGTCCTGGGGGCAGTTTCTGTTTCCAGCTATCCTGCTGCAAATCCAGGATAAGAGATATTTCATAAATGATAAGTGAGAGACAGATTTGACCTTATGTTCCTACTTCAACAATGTCAATCTCTGCAAACATGGACGGGGAGCTATTCAAAAGCTGCATTAAGCCTTCTTTCTTCGAGTTAAAATGGAGGTAGTGATTTTCTAGGTTCTAACAGCTGAACTGGGTTTTCATCAGGAAAGATTTGCGCATTTTATTTTTAGTAGAGGGCTTTTGGTTACAAATCTATCAGAACTGGAAAGCTCAGCCTCCCATGCAAACAAGATTTCCTCACTCTCAAGAAATATTTCATTAAAATCTTAGTAAATTGAATAACAAGGCATTTTTAAAGGAGCATTTTCACAAACACACTAGAGTTCCTAATGAAGCATTTGAATCCCTCCTTAACATCTGATTTCCTTTCCAGCACAGGGCCGTAGAAAATAATCTGAATTATTACTTCTGTTGCAGTGCCATTTTACTCAAAATATTTTATTCGGAGATTCACATATAATTACCCACCTAATAAAAGGAGCTATTAGGTTGTAAAGATCCTATCCTTTCCATGCTCTTTTAAAATTATGACCCACTCAAGCTTGAAATCAAAGGCAGAGCTGAATGGAATAATTCATCTGAAACTCTCTTATTGGGTTTTGCAGCCTCCTAACTGATAAATATGCAAATTAGTTCCCTTTTGGTGATTCAGCTGCATAAACAGGGATTAACGCTGAATGCAGCTGAAAATTTAGCAATAAAATGTATGCACACAAAATTTAGCCAATTCAACCAGTCATCGTTGTCAATAAACACCGTAACAACGCGCCGCAAATGCACTAGGACGAGGGAATCCCTGAAGATGGGTCGCAGTGTCCTGCTGCGCACCGCTCTTTGCTTGCCGTTCTCATGGAGCGCTGCCACGACCTCAACCAGGAAATGCTACGCTTGCGGAAAAGCCCTCCTAATTTATCAGTTATTTACCGGCCTCTGTTGTTCTTCCCCCAGGCTTGCGTCCTGCCCGCGGGAAGCACCCGCTGCCCCTTTGCCTTCATCATCCTCCACCCATCATCACCCCGGGTGGACGGGTCCTCGGATCAGAGCCATCCCGGGGGATGTGGGGTGGAAGGGAACGGCTCGGGGAAACTTCAGCTCCGTTTTTCTCTCTGCTCTGGCTCACAGTGGCCCCAGCAGCGCTTCCCAATGTCACCACAGGGCAGGCTGGCACAAAGGCCACCCATACGCAGACGCGTTTTATTACAAGCTTAAGCACGTAATGACTGCGTGTCAGAGAAGATTGCATATTATGTCCTCTTTTTGCAAGTGTACACTGGCTGGCTGGCAGCAGGCCACCAATGCAGACTTTTTTTCCTTTTTTTTTTACATTCCTGGTTCTCTGTTTGCCATACATAAAACATTAACTACGGAGGATTTACAAACGCTTGCTAAAATGGCTGAATTTTACAGCAACTCGCTAATCCCCACCACTTGTGCGAGATGAGTGACGGGGACGACAAAGGAAATTAGTAATTTGTCTTTTCATTTTGTGCTGTTGGGAAAACTTCCAAATTTTTGGTGTGGTGGTGTGATTATTTGCGATGGGTGTTTTTGTAGTCAGTAATTACGTATTTTTAAAAAAAAACCCAAATGAGTGACCTACAACACTGTCTCGTTAACGGCGTGGTCTATGTTTAAAAACATACTTGCATGAGGTAAGACTAGATCTATACAAAGAGCTACAAACCTCTACGGAGTAAAACATGAGTTAGTCATGACAACTTGAGCTCTACGAAGACTAGTAGATCAAAATGAGCAATCCGGCGGCATCAGCTACGACTCCGCGGTGACGACGTCATTCGCCTTGCCACGCTTTCATCGCTTTATGTGCCAGATCTACAGTTCTGTAACATTTCCGTTATTACTCTTTCCTTTTTCTTCTTTTTATCATTCCTTTTAGGAATGCAGGATTGCAGGAATCTTCCTGGCACTGAAGGAACGGTCCCGGGATCAAGATGATTTTGATGGGGTGGTGTCCGTGGGTGGTATGCGTGAAATCCTGGTATGCTGCAATGCTCGGGGATAATTATCGCTTCATCAAGAGCTGTTAGAAGGCTGAGCCTGTGATAGCATTGAGCTGCTTCATTAGCCCCTCCAAACTGGCCATCTGTTCACTCAGATCATCCTGCTCATAAACCTGCGAGTGAACAAACACACACAGATAAGCGGGCAGCGGGATGGGAACCGAGGCCCCCCGCACACAGCCCGGGACATGGCCCGTGGCAGGGACCTCCTGGGGCCCCCCCACTGGGACATCTTCCCTGCATGGTCCTGAGGGACCCGGAGCATTCAAGGATGGGCTGACACTTACAGGCTGGGTAGCAAAGCCTCTCTGGGCTCAACACGTGAGCTAAAACCAGGGGTGACCACGCTAGAGCAATATTAAATGTTAACGCCCCTTCCCTGAGTCCCCATTTCGCCAGCTCCCTCCCTTAGGTTAGATGTGCCCGCGCGTGGGGGGACGATGACAACATTTTTTAGCACCCAACGGAGACATCAAGTGCTCAACTAAACATGCCCTCTCCTAGGGCAGGCTGCAAGAGTTCGTTCAGCAATTAGCTGAACTACTCGGCTCTCGCTAGCGGCTGGGAATTTCCACCATCGCTTTTAGTGGGAGCGGAGGACTGGGAACAGTTTCCAGGGGCACCTAACTGGGCTGGAAGAAAGAAAGCCTTTGGGGTATGGCCAACTGAGAATCTGCAGCGAAACCTAAAATTACCAGCTCTGCACCTATTCTTGGGAAGCACTGACCTCAAAAATCACCAAGGCAAGAGCAAGAGGAGCGATCCTCTGCCTTCGGACACTGAGAGGGAGCTCAAATATTAGTTATTTATGTGGGTTTTACCAACTAGAAGATCTGAAAGTGCTGTATAAGCCCTGCAGTCCCCGAGGTGGGATGGAGCAGGCAGCTTAAAAGAGCATCCGCAGAGTCAATCTTAAAAAAAAAATATTCCCCAAATTTTAGCCTTTCTCCCCGAATTCTGACCATCTGATGAACTTGTTGCCTGCACCAGTATGGCCTGTAACTACCCTCACACTTGTAGAGCTTGAGCAGTGTCTCTCCTGAGAGCTAAATCGTGCTGCAGTGATAAAATATGGTACTGAGAGCTGAAATTGCACTTTGTGTTATCAAATGTCCTGCGTTAAATTACTCCTCATGCCAGCAATTTTACTATGGAGGGCATTTTCCTTCCCGTTCCCATTCCAGTAGGAGATTCCACGTGTCTTACATCGTCCTGCGTCCCCTTTTCCCAGCAAAAAGTGAGAATCCTTCTGGGACTATACGCAGAAGTATATTTTTATGCCATTGATAATGACAAACAAATCAAACACTGTTGGCCCGCATTCATCAGGCAGCAAACCCTCCATCTGTATGTCTAAAGCAAATCTTTTTTCTTTCCCTTTAGCCAGGTGGATAACATAAAAGGATTCACTAACAAGATGTTGGACAAATCACTGCTTTAGTGCCTAGCAAAAAATTCTCCTGTGCAAGTAGATGAGAAGAGGTGATATACAACATGTATTTAATATATTTCTTTTTTCCCTTATTCCTTTTCTTTTGCACCGTTCCATCTTCTGGATCATGTGAGACCTTTCTCTACGAGAGTCTTAATAGGAGTGAAAAGATTATTCTAATTTCACTACCTTTTCAGTTTCACTTATCTACTTCTTCAACGTTATTTTTCTCACCATTATCTGGTGATCATCTATACTCATTTTTCCTGCCAAAATTATTTTCTTCCCTTATCGCACTTCTCACCCCCTCTTTCTCCTCTCCCGGTATCTCAGGGTGCTCAGGAGATGCTGTGCGAGCTGTCCCGTGGATAATACTAACACAGAATCGAAGCACTCGCTTCTCCCCTGTATCACACAAGCCAAAGTCCATTAAAGTCAACAGCAAAGTTTTACCGGCTGCCAGAACTTTTTACTCGCTTTCCAACAGCTATCAGCTGCAGCGTAATACCTTCGGTAAGGAGGGACAGACCGTTATCTAAAAATTAACGTGCAGATTGGGGATTAGAGAATATAACTTGGCGGTGATGAGGCTTGCAAGAAGGCTGGCTCTGAAAGATGGTTCTTACGTTCGCGGAGTCCTCCGTCTGCTTGTGGCCCTCTTCTGCGACCTCCGGGGCCGTGGGCACCGAGACAGGCAGCAGAGGTGACCTGGCTTTCCCTGCCAAGCCAAGGCATGCTGTTTTAACCTGAGCCTTGGGGAGGTTAGGCCCTGGAAAAAGAAACAAAAGTCACATTGAGAACCTGTAGGCACGGCAAAGGGGATTGCAGTGAAATTTGGGGATTATAGGCAAAGTGCAGCTGGTTCTACCATTAATTTGGGGATTATGGCCAAAATGCAGCTGGTTTTACCATCAATTTGGGGATTATAGGCAAAATGCAGCTGGTTTTACCATCAATTTGGGGATTATGGCCAAAATGCAGCTGGTTTTACCATTAATTTGGGGATTATAGGCAAAATGCAGCTGGTTTTACCATCAATTTGGGGATTATAGGCAAAATGCAGCTGGTTTTACCATCAATTTGGGGATTATGGCCAAAATGCAGCTGGTTTTACCATCAATTTGGGGATTATGCAGCTGGTTTTACCATTAGTTTGGGGATTATAGGGAAAATGCAGCTGGTTTTACCATCAATTTGGGGATTATAGGCAAAATGCAGCTGGTTTTACCATCAATTTGGGGATTATAGGCAACAATGCAGCTGGTTTTACCATCAATTTGGGGATTATGCAGCTGGTTTTACCATTAATTTGGGGATTATAGGCAAAATGCAGCTGGTTTTACCATCAATTTGGGGATTATAGCCAAAATGCAGCTGGTGTTACCATCAATTTGGGGATTATAGGCAAAATGCAGCTGGTTTTACCATTGCTGCTCGTGTTTTCAGTTGTAAATGTACAGTCCCCTTCCTAGACAGACACTGCTTCTTCCTAGAGGAGCATCAGAGCCAACACAAACACTTTCTAAAAACTCCTCAATTATATGCCATTGGCTCCGCTCCCGAAAGAGGACTCACAGTCGTAGCAGGTTTGCAATTTTCTGTTGACATTACTTTTTGATGAAGAATGCCCTTTTGCAAAAACAAAAGTTTTCACACGGGAACTTCAATTTTCCTGGGGAAAATACCTACAGACCCGGTACTCCTGGAAGATAATGAAAACCTGGGCTCCGTGGCCCCTGCCTGGCAGGGAACTGTCAGTTTGACGTTGTGTTTGAGCGAGAAAGCGAGACTGAAGAGCAGAGAGCAGTGGTCAGGCTCGGGTAATGGCAGTTGTTTCCATGGTTCTCATCTATTTTTGTTTCTAACTCCCTCAAGCTGACAGCAGCCCTCCAGGTGGGTTACTGAACAAGCTAAACCAAAACCTGTATTTCTACTTTTTAAAAAAAAAAAAAAAAAAAGGTATTTCTTGACTTTTTATCTCAGCTTGGAAGGAGGAAAAAAAATCAAAATAGATTTATTTTTTTGACAGAAAGGGACTTCCCTTCTTAAACATCTCTGCTGAAACTCCTCCTGCCCACCACACTGAGCCGCACTGCCGCTCCTCAGCTAGTGTCAGCAGCGGCGCTGTCTGGAGTGCCGCCCTTCAAAGATGCATCGACTGACACGTCTCAGCTCTCTTCTAGAGGAAATTAAAAATTCTTTGTCTCTTCTAATGATTCAAAACATCCAAGAATAAAACCTTTGTCCTGGGCAAATGGCCTCCACTCAGCACAAGGTGCCTGGCAAGACCTTGCTGGAGACGCAAGGGCTGTCAGTCGAAATAGAGGCACACAACACATTGATTTTAAGTACCCTGGGATAGTTTTAAAATTAAAGTTGCCATGCAAAGCCAAACGGAGATCCTGTATCTCATGCATCATAGATTCAAGGCCAAAAACGGGGATGGCAATGTCAAGCTTTCTTGCTGCCAGAGTAGAATCATAGAATCATAGAATGCTTTGGGTTGGAAGGGACCTTGAGAGATCATCAAGGCCAACCCTCCTGCAGTGAGCAGGGATTGAACCTGTGAACTTGGCATTATTAGCACCATGTTCTAACCAACTGAGCTAACCCAGCGGGTCAAGTAATCCCGCTTTCCCCTGAAGCTACGGCTTAAACATCCCTGCGACCTGCGTTAAGGCCAAACTCATTCCGGTGAGCATCTTTGGCACTTCTTTCAGCCACCTAGGTCCCCAAAATTTATTCTTCCCACTTCCTCTCTATCAACACCAAACCACTTTAATCCTACTTGTGCCCTAAGGCAAGTTTCATGTTCATTTATTTAAATATGCAGTCTCCAGGCCGATACTTGCTTGGCAGGGGGCATCACGGACCAGGGACTGTCAACCCCCCCCAGCCTCCCCACCGGCTAATGGCAGATCCCCTCTGGCACAGGGGTTGACTTTGGAGTCTCACAGGGCAGGCTTCCATCTCCCATGGCACTCGGGCACAATTTTTATTCTGCTCATTTGACTCCTGTTGAAATCGAGATGATGAATCATAAATAAATAGGTTTTTTTCTACCTTTCCTCCTCTATGACCTTCAGCAAGTTCCCTGCCTTTTTTTCTATTAAGAAAATGTGTACCATAATAATGATAATAACAACAGCCATCGCTGATGGTGCTTATTAGAGGTATTAAAAGGCATCAGCCTCAGTGAGTCAAGTAGGCTACTGGCCATTGCACCAGAACTGGACCCAGAAAGAGAAAAATGGGTCTCAAGACACTCCAGCCATGAAGTGTACACAGAGCAAGGGGTGTCCCAAGGACGAGCCACAGCACAGCTTTGTACGAGGATGCCCGTGGCTCTGGAGCCGAGACGCAGGGACCAGGAGCGCGGGAGATGTCTCCATCCACGTGGGACGCACACAAGCTCACTCCAAAATCCACGTCCCGGATCAGAAACCCACCCGGTTGCCATGCAAACCCAACCTGTCTTTTTAGGAATCTTAAGTTTAAACACCTATTTGTTTTCTTCATCACTAGATTCCCACCTGATTCCCTCTCTTTTCTTATATATCATTAACATATCATGAAAGCAATGCTCCTGAGCCTGGAGCGGCACTGCCTGGAGAATAACTCCAGCGTAGGAAGGCAGGCAGCTGCTGCAGCTGGAGCAGCCACGGCTCTCGCTCCCCAAATCCCAGCAAATCATCGCAGTCATGACAGCTCTCTGTATCCTTACGTCCCCAGCGACTAGCCAGGAGACAAGAGTTGCAGATTAATTTTCCTGTATTTCAAAGAATTGTGTTTACATTTTTAATTAGTTTAAGGCAGAGAAAACACAACGGAGCAGAAGAGAGAACAAAATCCCTCCCGAAATCGAGTTGCCAACAGCGTGTTCATTAAAAGTAAGTTCCAGTAAAGAGCTGCAAGACGGGGGCAGAGAGGGAGAGACTCACAAACACCCTCTCTGTAAGGCTGAGAATCGCAGATAACTCCCATTTAGATGAAGCTATGAAAGTGTGAAAGCGCAATACAAGCTAAAAGAGATCGCCACAAAGATACGCTCACTCTTCCAGCTCCAGTTTAATAGTGTCGTGGCTCAGCCCCAGCTCAGCACCACGCAGCCGCTCGCTCACTGCCCCTGCCCCGATGGGATGGGGGAGAGAATTGGAGGAGTAAGAGTGAGAAACACTCCTGGGGTGAGATAAGAACAGTTTAATAATTGAAATAAAGTAAAATAGTAATGCTAATAGTAACAATAAAATAATAATAATATCCAAAGCAAGTGATGCCCAATGCAATCGCTCACCACCCGCCGACCGATGCCCAGCCAGTTCCCAGCAGCGATCGCTGCTCCCCGGCCAACCCCCCCAGTTTCCATACTACCCATGACGCCGTATGGTATGGAATGGCCCTTGGGGCAGTTGGGATCAACTCTCCTGGCTGTGCCCCCTCCCAGCTCCTTGTGCCCCTGGCAGAGCAGGGGAAGCTGAAAAGCCCTTGCCTGGCATAAGCAGCGCTGAGCAACAACCAAACCATCAGCGTGTTATCAACATTCTTCTCCTACTAAATCCAAACCACAGCACTGTGCCTGCTGCTAGGAAGAAAATTAACTCTGTCCCAGCCCAAACCAGGACAAATAGCTAAAAGACTTCCTTAATAACTGGGCCTTCAAATTTCCCTGTATCTCAGAGTAAGAGTAGAAGACACAGCTACGCCCAAAGATTCTATGATTCCATCTTCTAGGCGCTGCACATGCAAATCGTTTTTTAAAAAAAGGAAATGTTTTTCTCTTCCATTTCTTAATAAAAAAAAAGCTTATTTCCCAAGAAGAGTGTGAGTGTGTGGGGAGAATAGGCACACACTGACACTCGAAACGTGCACCCAGCAGTTACACACTGAGAAACTCAAGAGCCCGAGTCTAAAACACAACGCCATCACAGGCAAATTAACTCTAAGCTGCCTGGCGCACAGACCACAGCTTCTAAACGCTGGTTTCCCCCCCGCCCCCCCGGTGCTTTGAAAACACCTGCAGCGCTCGGCAAAGAAGTAAACTGCAGCTGTGGCCGCTGCAGCTGGCAGCTGTGGCGGTATTTCTGGTTTAGTAGCGCTCCTATAGCCTGCTAAAGAGAGATTTATCCGATTCCTGTCACAGGGAATCTGGATTGCATCCTGGGACATCAATGTGACACGAAGAATAAATAATAAGACACAGCCACTGCAGAAAATTGCATCCATGCTGTTTATCGGTTAGATAATGGACCCAAATCGGCTTTTTTTATACAAGTGACTTTGCGTTGCGACTTGTTTGATTTTCATGGGCTGGTGGAGAAGTAAACATTTGATGTAGCGGCGAGGAGCTCATGTGAAATGCAGAATATGTTGCTATTGTAATCTTCTAAATCCCGTGGTAAAAATCATGTTTCTCATATGTAACTCATTAATTGTAGTAATTGGACTTAAAGACCCACTTTCCTGCACAAAGACAGATGTTCCCTCCTGGATATTGTTAATGAGAAGCCGTAACGATGATTAGTAAGTTCAGTTTGTGCATCTTTTTGCCCTTTAGCTCACAAAAGCAACAGGCAAATTGTAATGCTCGTAACTAAAATGAAGCTGAGAAAATTTTCCTTACACATAGCTGCATATTTCAAGTTCTTCGGCAAACGTTTTACAGCAGTGACTGTTGTCCAAGGTAACGCTTATAATATGTAATTAGTACAACAGTTGAGCCCTCTACCCCAAAGGATGTCAAAAAGACCAAGCAGGCCTCTCGAAGAGAAT